TAATTTTGCATCACAACTTCCTTGTGATGTCTCAGGTATTTGACATCTGTGCGAGATAACTGTGGTCGGCCGTTCGGTTTACCTCTCCCTCACTACGAATCTTTCACTGCGATTGGCTAAATGTGGGGTGACGCAATCATTCGCGGCATAAGATCTGATACGTCATCATTTGTGCCGTAAAATGCCCGATTATGAACGATTTCGTACAACAGAAAATGTCGTTTATAATGATAGTATACAAAAAAAAACCTTTTATCTTATGCACAGCTACTGGAATCTAGATATATTAGATACCAATTCTAATGCACCGCTACTGGCAGCTGGACGAATATATTATAAGGAACCACGTATTATTTGCGAGACGTGGCGTGGGTGTTAGAATCCTTTATACCTCAAAGCAAGTAATGCGTAAGCGGTATTCGAACACGCAGCCATTCTATTGTACATCGCCACCTTGCTTCCGCCTTGCTGGTGTGCAGCCGGTCGGGCCGGCGTGGCGCGAATTGCAATTGGCGACGTGTAAGCGGTTTCGGAGTGCGGTGCTCGAGTCGGCCTTGGCTCGCGTGGGGCGCTGGCTGCGCGGGGAGCTGCGCTGACTCGCTCTGCATGCGGCTGCGTGACCCGCTTCCGTGGACAGAGTCACAGCGGAGGCGCCCGCTCGAACGGGTCCGTCCTATTTAGCGGACTATTGAGGTTCAGTTCAAGGTCTCCAAACCACCACTGTACATGCGTTTCGATCTCACGGTCTGTCTAAAGGTATGTAATAATTGCAGGTCTTTCGCGCAAATATAATTAATTAGTTTAATATAAAATAAACTTTAAAGTTGCTTTGCAATTGTGACAATCAGAATATTTTCGTTAAAATGCGTTTTTTGTCTAACACCATTATAAACTACCTTTTGTGTTGCGAGAAATTGTTAATAATAGGGCACTTTACGGCACAAATGTATTAGCATTTTATGCCGCAAATGATTGCGTCATCACGTATTCAGCCAATCACAACGAGAGAATCGCGGGATGGTAGTTCTAAACGGAACAGCCGACTACCCTTTTTGCGCACAATGTCAAATAAACGAGACGTCATGAGAAAGTTGTTTCGCAAAATTAAGCTTGATTCTCTGATAAATTCACAATGCTGTTATACAAAAAAATAGCGTATGCAACTTTATAATGTTGCATCATTGCATTTATACAAATTTGAAAAGAGCGACATTAGGAGCACGACGTATGCAATAAAGCTTAGCATTACAAAGTAATTGCATAAACTGCAATTAATTTGCTGATTTTTTAATGGAAACTATAGAGTGACCTTTCTATTAAAGTGCCAGTCGCGCGGGGATTTTGCCTCTGCGAACAAGGCCACGGATTCCGCGAAAATCGAGTGAGGGCGGTCGGAAGAATCGCCGAAAAGGGAAGGTGGCTTCTCGCTACCGGAAAATTTAAATTGTACTTTCGTTATAGTAGATGCCGGAACTGCTCACTGTCGGCTCTGACGCATTCTTGACTGCTTTTTCCCACGAGTACACCTTGACTCTTGAATTTTTTCGCCAGTTTTTGAATCGTATTCCGATGTGGAGGCTTGGTTCCCGAAAACGCCCTAAAGTGTCATACCCAATCACATTCTGTTTGAGAGTGAACTTCACGAGCGAGCCATCCCAAACCCATTACTCAACAAGGCTGGATAGAATGCCTTTTGCAGTTCTCCCGCCCGCAACATTCTCAGAGCAGTTAGTGCACCGTTCCGTAGTGAGAGACGGGCCCGTCGGGCGAGGAAAGTTTTCCACGATTGCAGCAGACTACCAAAAGTCGCACTGTATATTCGACGAACGAGAGGGTAGAAGGAAATAAATTTTTATTTAATTTAAAATGAACCCAAGATATTCTATTACAACAAGATAAGGGTTGAAATGGTAAGATTGTAACACGATTGCAGCACTCTAGCAAAGTAATTGCACTGTATATTCGACTATGAGAAAGTGGAAAGAAAGAAGCACTATTTTATTTTATATAAGATGAACCCAACACGTACTATTATAACAAGATAAGAGTTGTGATGGTAATAAAATCAATTAAAATATGCACTTTAACATTGCATTTCGTAGACTGCATGTCATTTTCTCGATTTCTGAACAGTGACTTTTCAGCATTGCGATTGTCAGCTTCAGGAACGAAGAATTAGCGAGCAGGAACCCCGGGCGTTCGTGCGTCAAGCAAAGAGAGTCGAAGTTCGCCCTGGCTTTGCAAATGCAACGGAGCGGCAAGTCGACCTCTGCGGTCCGTCTGAGCATGAGAGATACGGATGGGATTGTCAGCGTGCCGAGGACGAAAGCGGGCAAGTCGAGAAGTCGGAGTTTGAAGGAAAGGATCGACTCCGGGTGGAGGGGTGGGGTAGGGTAAAGGCGAGGGTGGCGCGGGTGGGAGGCTCGGGGCCAAGAGACGCCTTAGGGACTCGGAGGGTGGAGCGAGAAGGGAGGAGGTGGCGCCGAAGGAGGGTAGGGCAAGGGCATGGAATGGCCTGTTGGGTGTATAGCGATTGGGGCTGCGAGGTGAGTGTACGCGGGAGGGTGGAGAGGGCCGCTGAGGTAGCTCAGGAGAGCCGAGAGAGAAAGAAAGAAAGATAAATAAACAGAGGGATGCATAGAATGAGAGGGAGAGGTAGAAGGAGAGGGAAGATAGAATGAGGGAGAGGAGAAATGAGAGAGAGAGAAGATGAGCAGGGAGAGAGAGAGAAAGTGAGAGGGAGAGCAGAGAAAGAATCGAGAGGGAGAGAGAGAGAATGAGAGGGGGAGAGGAGAAATAGGGAAAGAGAGAGAGAATGAGAGGAGAGAGAGAGAATGAGAGGGAGAGAGAGAGAATGAGAGGAGCATGGTCGAGAGCATGGTAGGACGACCTGACAAATGAAGGGAGAGAGGAATGAGTGGAGAGAAGAGAGGGGGATTTCCAGTGGGACTTGCTAGAGGCAGGAAAGTCTCAGGAGGCCGGCAGGAATGGCAGAAAGTCTGAGTGCAGGAGAATCACCAAGACCGGACTCTGGAGACGGGCAAACGGGCGAAAGAGAGAATCCGAAGAGGGGCGGTCGCTGGGGAACAAAAGGCGCTGCGCCCAGAATAACTCTGTCGTCGTCCGGCGCGCGGCGGCCAAAGCGCGGTTTTGGTCAAGGGGGGCACGCCGGCGGCCGGGGCCAGAGGAAGGACGGGGGAGGCGGCAGGGTTGGCGAGCCGGCGGCAGGGAGTGGGGGGGGGCAGGGGAGGGGGGAACAGCGTCGTTTGGCCGCGGCTGCGTATGCGTGGCTGGGGCTGAGCCCCATTTCCGGCGGGCCGGTCGATGCTTATCCTGGGTTTGCGGCCTGCATTCCGCTTCCCCGTCCGCGCGCGCGAAACCTCCCTGCCAGATCGGCGGCTCCCGGCGCTCGCGGACCTCGTTCAGCGTCTCCTACGTGCGCCAACTTGGAATTTCGCCCGTCAGTTACACGGATACCAGCACTATCACGACAAGGTGTTTATTTCATTTTTGTGTTAGAACAAATACGAATTAAGTTTTGAAAAAATCTGCTTCCCCGGGTGATTCTTCTTGGTTTATCAATTTTTAAGCTGCTTTTCAATATTGTTTATATTGCAGGGCGTTCGAGAGAAAGAGAATACATAAAAAATGTGCCAGAGAACAAAGAAAACTGTTAAATGTTCGACGTTGTCCAAACGTTGTGCAATTGAGGGAAAAATAATGTAGAAAGAAACTGAAAAGAGAGGAGTTGAAACTCATTTACTGCCACAGGAGAGCATGATTTCTGCATCTTAATTCCAGAGGGTTCGAATAATTGGAAAGACATACAAAATAAAAACGAAAAATATTTTACCAATACTGACTTATCGAGCTGTGCCCGATCATGTTGTGTGTGTATTTGTCATGTGATCGCCATTGAATCCCCTACTCCCAGACTTCCAAACCGTGCCGTAGTAAGTAACGTATATTTTGCCGATTGGTAAGTAAATATTCCTGTCGACCTACAGCAAAACTCCCACAGAAAACAAATCGCTACTTCAGGGATGAAAAAAAGTTGATTGGCAATTTTTTTAAATGCAGTATATAGCTATATATGTTGAAAAATTACGTTTCTCAAAAACCATACTATTTTTCTATTTTAGATTATTTTTTAAAGATGAATACTGGATAGAAGTTGTAAATTATTTGCACAATTAGAGACGAAATTCATAGCAACAGTCCCAAGATATTCCGTTATTTCTTTCAAGTGACTACGAAATTCTGTAGGCTGAAATAGTTAACTAATTGCAAAGTCATGTGTTAAAAAAAGGCTAAAATATTGTATCGAAAAGCCACACTACTTTTATATAAGTTTTGCGCAAGTCCTAAATAATTTAAGTCGGAATCTCAAATAGCAACATATATAATAATTCACATATTTTCTCCTTAAGAATTCGTGATAAATGCAATATGCAATTGGATATAAAACTAGTCAGCTTACTCTTGATAAAAACCTGATGCAACCTTAAATTCAGCAGAGATTTCATTTTCGAGAACGAGACGGTATTGCATTTTCGTTAGCAAAACCCTATCAGATCGTGTAATATTGACGTATTGTCCCACGTGTTTATTGAAAATGGTCTAATGTACCGAAATGATCCTCTACCCTCTTCTCCACATTGGGGGTTTCGGGAAACGCAGGCCGCCCGTCCCATTACGAGGCTGCGAGCTATCGTGAAGCACAGCACGGCGGCGGCGGCGGCGGCGGCGGCGGTCGGTGGCGGTGGCGTGGCGGTGGCGGGTGCGGTGCGGTGACGGTGGCGGTGGGCGGCCGGGGGAGGACCGCGGAACGATCACGTCATTAACCCGATTGGCGGCGACTTTGATGCGCGGCGCACCGCCAGCCGTGCGGCGCAATCAGGTTAGCGGGATTCCGTCAAACAGCCGCGGGCGGGCACGCCGCTGCGGTCCGTAGCGTGACGGTGACGGAGGCGCGGTGGCGGCGGAGGCGGAAGCTGACGATGGGTGCGTGGGGTGGCCGACTGGGAGATGGGGTCCGCGTGCGTGGCGACTGTATTGGTAGGTTTTATGACACAATAGTCTTGGCAGTGGCGGTGGCGTGGGCAGTGGGGCCGGTGGACAGCGGGAAGGCGTGGACAGCGGGGACGGCGGTTGGGCAGCGGGGAAAGCGTGGGCAGAAGGGGACGGCCGTTTTCAGCCGGGGAAACGAGTGGCATAGCGGGAAAAGGCGTGGGCAGCGGGGACGGCGTGGCAGCAGGGAAGGCGTGGACAGCGGGGAAGGCGTGGACAGCGGGGCGGCGTGGGCAGCGGGGAAGGCGTGAGGCAGAGAGGACGGGGCCGTTTTTCAGCGGGACGACGAGGGCAGCGGGAAAGGCGTGGGCAGCGGGGACGGCGTGGGCGCAGCGGGACGGGCGGGGCAAGCGGGGAATAAGGCGTGGCAGAGGGACGGCGTTTTCAGCGGGGCAAGGACGAGGGCAGATGGGAAAGGCGTGGGCAGCGGGGGACGGCGGGGCAGCGGGGGAACGGGGGCGTGGGCAGCGGGCGACGCAGGTGGGCAGCGGGGACGGGTGGCACGCGGAGAAGACGAGGCAGCGGGATGGCCGGGGCAGCTGGGAAGCTGTGGGCAGCGGGGAGACGGGCGTGGTGCAGCGGGGGGTTGGCGTGGGTAGGGGACGGAAGGTCGGTGGGAGCGGGGGCGGCGTCGCCGGAAGCGGCGGCGGCACGGCCGGGAGCGGCGGGGGTAGGGGCGGCGGGGATGGAGGGGAAGTGAAACTGGCGGTGGCGAGGTCCGATGTGCGGTTCGAAGCGAGGGAGCGATGGGAAGGGCGGCGGGGGCCACGACACATTGCATGCCCCCGCCGCACTCGCCGATTGGATTCGCCGCTGATTCGGCACGATTCGGTGCCGTTGTCGAATCAGTAGCGTTGTTAATGTCAGTTCCCTCCCCTCGCAACGGCTGTGCCCATCCCCACTCCGCCCATTGCGCCCCCTCCTCACGTCATTACGGTCCCTGGCAAGGTGTTTTCTCGGGCCTCGCAGTGCGTCGTTGCTCTGCCTCGTCTTAGGCCTAACATTCGGACGTCACATTCTAATTCCGTTCCAATCGGACACCACAACGCAAAGCGTTTTCGCGAGCAACACCGTCCGCCGAGGACTTGCCATCATTCTCTCTCTCCTCTGCTTTGTGCCCCTCGGAGCGAACAGTGTGCTTAGATCATCGATAGTGTATCTTTCAGACGTGTCCGAGTGAATGCTAAGGGCAGTAGGTGCCGTAGGAACGCGGGGTTCGAGTATCGGACCCGGGTATGATGTTATTGTAATCGTATTTCACCGGCCTTAACCATCATCACAATTAAATCGGCTGGTCAACACCTCACACGTTATAAATCCGTTACAAGGCACTAGTGGTCGCTATATAACTAGAAAGTTGAATGCGACTTAACTGCCTGATGTTTCCGTCGTGTTCAAATATTCTCTCTCTTACCCTACTGTACATTCTTCTTCGTTGTTTCCATCCGTTTTTTTCTCCCGCGGAGATAGCCTCCGAACGGATATTTCGAGAAAACCTTCTCTCAAAAACACTGTTTCAAACACACAATCTCGCGTAAACTGCTCTAATAAAACCCTAATCCTAAAACCCCAACGAAAACCTCTTCATTCTACTGATACAAACATTTCCCGATCCTGACTGTTCTTTGCCGGTATACGGGTGAGATAATGAAAATTAAGTATGTGGTTCCAAAGTTTTCGCTCCTCATTTTTGTGTTTCAGCAATAGGCCTCCAACTACCTTAGAGCTGCCTGCGTTTCCGTTCCCCCACACTGCCACCTTACCCCTGGTGTTGAGTCTTTTTTCCCTGGTCTCTGCATTGTGTTTCTTCTCTTTCCAAGTTCTCATCTGGTATTTTCTAGCCTTCCATGTTTCCTTCTCCTCAGATCTGCACGTAAAACTCCAAGTCGGTCGTGTTTGTTCTTTCTTTGTTCGGCCCGCGGGCGCGGGTGGCGTGTGCGGTGTAACTCCCGGGGATTCCGGCCTCCTGTCTCTCCTGTTCCTCTGCTGCTCTTGAGCCACGCATCGGTGTGGCGGTGGTGCCACTGATTGCCTACCATCTTCCTGTCGTTCGTAGCCTCCTAATCCCTTGGTGATCTCTCACGCTCAATTTCTTGCTGATCTGTGCAACACTAAATAAAACAAGGTCAGGCAAAAGAACATTGCTTTTCGCGCACCCTTCTGGCTCGTTGTCCGTCTCCTCCCAGCCGTTTTCCCTCCATTGCACATATAGACGCGTGTGAGCTCGGCACAATCGATGAGCTATGGGGCCGTGGGAACTGCGCAGGAGAGGTCAGCAAATTCTCCTGGAGGCACCCGGGCCGAGCGCCACTGGTCGCGAGAGAAAGATTCGTGACTCCACCCTACGCTTGGCGCCGAAGCAGGTCCACAGGTAAAAAGGTTTCTGGTGGCGAATACGGAGTGGTCATTTGGGTGGAGGCTGCCATTTAGAATCAGGGATCTGCTGGCGGTTGGGGACGGACGCGTTGTCGCCGCTTGGCGGCGGGAGTGTGGCCGCGAGCGCCACAGGCAGCGCATCCTAGCGGCGTCTCGCGCGTGAGAACTTGGCATATGGGTTGCCAGCAAGCGGCAAGCGGGAAGTGGCCACAGTGTGTGAAGGACCTTGGAAATGTAGTAATTACATAATTTTGGTTGCTGTGCGGCTTCCAGGAGAGCTATCTCCTCCCCTAAAAAAGCCAAAAAAAACGTGACGTTTGATTCGTCTCAATTTGAACGCAAGGTAACGATTAAGTTTGGTCGTTGCCCCGATCGGATTTTGGCACTGCTTCCGAGAGTCACTCGTGGAGAGTACGTGTATATGGGTGGGCTCGTATGCCTAAAATAGATTTTTCCATAAGTTTGCTGCGTATGGCGTTGGCGCGAGCAGAGGCTTCCCGAGTCGCATTTATTCGCGCAAGGGTCGCTCGCTATAGCCTTATTTAACTCGGTGCGAAGTGAGGTTGATGTGCAGTGTGAAGGTAGTACAAATCCATCCATAGAGGCGGATTCAAACTCGATCCTTCGATCAGAGATCGTGGCGGCGACCAATATGTTAGGCGACTGCGACTCATTCGGATCGACTTTAAAGTTTTTTACATC